AAAAATTCCTTTAAAAATAATAATATGGTCACAAAATTTTCCTTACCCTCTCAATTATTTAAATCATAAATGACTATCGCTGAAAAAATATCAAACCCAATTTGCGATAAAGATATAGATGTTGCAAAATTTTTCTTAGTCTCTTAATTATATAAATTAATTTTTGACACAACCACATTGACATTTACAAAACAAAATAAATAAATAAACAAATTTTGTTTATCGCGAAATTCTAATCTATTTATAACTACTTCAAAAACTTATCATAATAAATTAACTATTGCTGAAAAAAAAATGAAACATTGAAAAGGCACAAATTCCGGTCTAGACCTTTTCAATGATACTAAATTTAATTTAAAAAATTCATTTTATCATATAAATACGCCGGAGACAAAATTGTACTAATTCTTTTGATTATATAGATTGAATAAATTTAAAAAATAATTTTTTAAATTATTTTGATACTAAACTTAATTAAAAAAATTCATTATCATAAATAAATTATTTTTATCAAATTTTTCTATTGATTTTGAACTCACTTCTACAAAAAATCAAACTTTTAATTTTTCAATTTTATTTATTTTATATTCATATACATTTACACTTACACTTAATAGTACTTAAATAAACTCAACTTAAAAAATTCAAAAAAAATATTTAAAACTCATTAACAAGTTTATTTAATAAACTTACAATTAGAATAAATAAATTACGTTCAAGTTTGCGTAGAACAACCAGCAGCCTCATTACCCGAATTATTATCCTCATTCTCAGCATTCAATATTTCAGTAGCTGAGTGATAAAGTTTTTTGTGTTTATGAACAAAATAATAGCTCGGAAATTTACTGCCGCATATTTTACAAGGATAATACTGGACATTTAAATCAAGAAGCCGAACTTCCCTGCGTCTTTTACTCTCCGGTCGTTGAAGACTCGAAGCCGAGGAGTCTTCAGTTCCCGTGGGCAAAAGATGCCTCCTGGCGTGTTTCTTGTAACAATAATGAGACTTAAAAGTATGACGACAATATTCACATGTGTAATTCCCGCCGGTTTCACTAGACTCAACACTGGATTCATCAAACTCGGAGCGTTGTTTGTTGGGTCTTCCATTTTCATCATTTTCACCAATTATCTCGGATTCTGCGGATGAGTTTGCACTGGCTGGCTGACTCACTCGCTGCCGAGTGAGTCCACTATTATTATTACCAGAATTGTCAATTTGATTATTGCTCAAGCCATTGTCTGGCTTGGTGTAATTTTCATTCAATACCCGGTGAAACTTAACCGGGCCGTCGCAACACGCAATATCAAGCACAACACCGCTGGAACTGGTGGTAGCTAAATCATTGCTGGATCTGGAGCTTCTTCCGGATTTGTGCTGTGTTAAACTATCAATATTTATCACTGATATCTTCTCGCTGGTGCTAGGCGAAGAGGTGACTGTCCTTTGGGATGTAAAATCATCTTGTTCTTTTTTATTTAAATTTTTTTCTTCAACTTTGCTGCCTCGTAATTTAGAATCCTTTAATTTGGAGGTTGATACGATGTTAATAGGGCTGTTGGACCTCTCTCGGTATTTTTGAGATCGCTCTGGTGTAAATGTTGAAGATGAAGGCTCTGGAGAGTTAACTCTGTATAAAATAATTTATTTTTTTATTTTTATATTAAATAAACTTTTATTAAAAATTTAAATAAACTAATTTATAGTTTAAATAAAAAATAAAAAATTAAATAAAATCAAATAAAATAAATAAATTAATTAAAAATTAAATATAAAAAATAAAAAATTAAAAATAAAGAATTAAAAAATAAAGGATTAAAAAAAATTGAAAATAAAAAATTAATTATAAAAAATAAAAAATAAGGGATTAAAAAAAATTGAACATACAAAATTAAAAATAAGAAATAAAAAATTAAAAATTAAAAATACAAAATAGAAAATAAAAAATTAATTATAAAAAATTAAAAATAAACATTTAAAAATAAAGGATTAAAAAAAAATTGAAAATACAAAATTAAAAATTAGAAGTAAAAAATTGAAAATAAAATATAGAAAATCAAAAATTAAAAATTAAAGATTAAAAATATAGAATTAAAAATTAAAAATTGCACTGACCGGAAAGCTGTTGAAGTTTCTTGAGGACTCTGAATCACCGGAATCCTGGGTGGAAGTTGTAAACTTGGAAGAAGAGGAAACCCAGCTGATGAATAGAGACTGGACTGGGGCCAGCAAACAGAAGGACCCACTAGTCTATTGGGAACTGGTCTCAGAATAGTTGGAGTTGAAGCTTGTGGTAACGGTGGCGGTGGAGCTGGACCGCGAAGACGAAGAAGCGCTGCGCGACATTGTTCTAGAGCTCCTGGCATGTGCAATAAATGAGTCGCTAATAACACGCTGTAGATGTTGTCTAGGGTCACTTCCAAGCGCCCGGTGTACATGTAGTTTAATAGAGGAGCAAATGCTTCACCACCTGATTAAAAAAAAAAAAAATTACAATTAATATTTTTCAGAAAAAAAAATATTTTCTAGAAAAAGAAAATTTATTTTATTTAAATTGAAGAAAAGAAAATAAATTAATATTTTTCAGATTGAACAATTAAATTTAAATTGAAGAAAAAAAATTAAATTAAGATTTGTTGGAATAAAAAATTAAATTTAAATTCAATTGAAGAAAAAAACAATTAATAAAATTTTATTTCAATTGAAGAAAAAAAAATTAATAAAATTAAAGAAAAAAAAATAAATTAAATTAAAATTGAAAAAAAAAAAAATTTTTGATTAAATTTTGAAAAAATTCAAAATTATAATTTTGATACTTTAAAGCAATATTTACCAACAGAGGAAACAGAAATTGATGTAATAGGATTTGGAGAATCTCCAGTAACACGAGATGCACTAGATGAAGTTGTTGACAACAAAGCTTTTAAATATCCGCTGTGAGCTGCCAGGACACCACGATGAGCCACAAATTGATGTTCTCCATCATTTCCCACCCTTATTACAGTATCCGGTGGTGAAAGTGTCTCCAAATGAGAGTAATTTTCTTCACCGAACCAAGCTCTGTACAAACTATACATTTTAATTTTAAATTATTAAAAACTCATTTTTTAAAATTGTATTTTTACAAATAATAACAAAAGTGTTTTTTAGCACACGCGAGTTATGAGCTGGAGGAAACGTTGTAATCAAGCAGGTCGCGATCGTGATTTGAACGCCGGTAGCGAGTGCAAAAGCGGTTTGCGAAGCACCCCACCAGCAACCCTCAAGTACTCGCGGGGTAAGAACCGCCCCCGAAGCCCAGATTGGCTGTTGCTGTGACACGTGTACAAGACTCGCGTTCCACCGTGCGATATTTTATTTTTAATTTTTTTTTTTTAAACAAATTCTAGAACTAGTTCATATCAATTCATCTTTTTTGTTGTTTTTGAATTATTTATTTAATAATCATACTCGCTCTTTTACATTCTATAATTTTTGTGCAATGTTTGATTAACATTAAATCATATGTTGTACACATGTGTACTTTTGACAGCGGTGCTTGAATTGCGTCTCAGTTTTAAAGATAATTTGCAAACATTGCTTTCATTTGAGTACTCACATGCATTTTCATATATATTCATATATATAAATATATAAAATATATGAAAAATTGATGTGGGTACTCAAATTAAAAGTCTCGATGAGTGTAACATGAGAATGAGCTTATATCTTAAAAAATGTTAATAGCTCAAAAGATATTTGTTATAATTACTCTGTACTTTCTTAACTATTGACCTTTTTAAAGATATAAGCTCATCCTGATGTTACACTTATCAAGAGCTTTCATTTGAGTACCCACATGCATTTTTGATATATTTTTCATCTATACATATATGTAATATATATAAATATATGAAAAATTGATGTGGGTACTCAAATGAAAGGTCTCGATGAGTGTAACATCGTGATGAGCTTATATCTTTGAAAATATCATTAGTTGACAAGATAGCAAGTCAGTTCTTAATTATTGACATTTTGATAGATATAAGCTCATCCCGATGTTACACTCATCAAGAGCTTTCATTTAAGTACCCACATGTATTTTTGATATATTTTTCATATATACATATATATAATATATATAAATATATAATATATATGAAAAATTGATGTGGGTACTCAAATGAAAGGCCTCGATGAGTGTAACGTCAGGATGAGCTTATATTTTCAAAAATGTCAATAGTTCACAAGATACAAGGTCATTTCTTAATTATGTGTCTAGAAACCTTTGCAATGACACTAAATTTCATTAAAAAACCGATTTTATCATTAAAATACACTGGTCGCAAAATTTTGCTTATTCTCTTAATATAGATAATTTAAAATATCTTCTTCGTAATTACTTAGAACTGTCGTAGATTTTAGTACGAGTATCTTCATCGATATCAGCATCAGTGAATCATGAGGTACAGTTTCTACTTCAGCCGGAAGCGTTTCTCGTGTTGGCTAATAAACAAACGCGAGAACCACCGGTGAATATAACGACGATTACGCACATTTCCCCAGAGAGGATACTCGGCAGAGCTTGAAAGCTCCCTTACCCCTCGGCGCCCTTATTCTCTCGAAATCGCTAACCATCGCCGATTACCGTCTACCGAGGACGATTGTCCTCATGACAAAAGACAATATTTGCCAATCAACTGTTTGTCTTCTTTCATCGGCATCATTTTTTATTCTGAAAATAAATTCGCTAAAATATAAATCAGAGTTTCGATTTAAATTTAAATTAATACTAGTCACTATGCATACTTCCGACATTTACGGATTATCAATAAGAAAACTTATCATAATAAATTAACTATTGCAGAAAAGCATATGAAAAATTGAAAAGGCACAGATTTAGGTCTAGACCTTTCCAATGATACTAAATTTAATTAAAAAAATTCATTTTATCATATAAATACACCGAAGACAATTAATAATTACATAGATCATATTTTATACTCAACGAGCAATATTAAAATAAAAAACAGTAATTTTATTGGGTATTCTTCTTGGAGTTGAAGTTGAGTTGTCAGACACCGTTGGAACAATCGGCAGGCCTTAAACACACACTGTAAAGTGCCCCAGGTTATTTCAGTAGCAGCAGCCGTATCAACTCTACTTGGCTAATATAACAGAAATGAAAAAACTCACCAAGAGAAGAAGAACTCTCGGTTTAATGCCCTGTTCGGTTTAAACAAGCTGAGCAAACACTTTTCACGATATTACCAGCCAGCACACTGACTTTAAGAGTTTTATTATATATCTTACATTTATCATCATCTGCTCTAGAATCTTCAATTTTCTATTTCGAAATCCAAACCTGGAATTTATAAATTTAACATTGACATTTTATTATTTTCACTAAAAGATATAATAATAAATTACTAGCCACCCTGCAGTTACTTGTGAACTATAAATAAATGAAATTTTGCTTTATTAAATAATAACTTTTGTTAAATTGCACTGTACTTTCTTAAATATTAACTATTTTAAAGATATAAGCTTATCCCGATGTTACACTCAAAAAGAGCTTTCATTTGAGTACCCACATGCATTTTTTATATATTTTTCATACATACATATATATAATATATAATATATATAAATATATAAAATATATGAAAAATTGATGTGGGTACTCAAATGAAAGGTCTCGATGAGTGTAACATCGAGATGAGCTTATATCTTTAAAAATGTCAATGGTTCACAAGATATAAGGTAATTTCTCAATTATGTATCTAGAGATGAATTATTTTAGAATGCTGCCTTAAATTTCATTAAAAAAGCTGATTTTATCGTATGACTATCCTCGGTACATAATTTATCTTATTTTCTTAATATATATATTACCTCGAAGATAATTTGATGATCCAGCGATAGAATTACTGAAAACTGGCTAAACAATTACAAGAGTGTATTTAAAATGCCAGGTGAACAAATCTAAATTTAAGGGTCGTAGCAAATGGCCGGTTAAATTAAATGTTGGTCCATCCACCGGCAGAAGCAAAACCTCGAGCTGGAGCATAGCAGTGGGGGTGGAAGCGCCGAGATGAAAACACCCAGTTGAGTCGAGTAGTACAGCGGACGAGCTAATTAGCGTCTTGATTTACTTAATCCCAATTAATGCTCAACTACCACAGCCTCCGTCTCAGTCTCGCGAGCATTGGATAGCACAGAGCACAGAGCACAGAGCACTCGGTACTTTGCCAAGCAAATAACGGATTATACGTACTGTTAAACGTTAACCTTCGCAAAGCTAAATTAATATACCGTATATATATGATGGTTCGTCATTCCTAAAATCACAGAGATGAATTTGTTTAATCGTTTTAATTGATTAAATATTGTACAGTTTTGTAATAATTATTTTTATTTATTTACTTTCCAGCTTTGATCGTTCGTTTTAAAAAGATTATTTTTATTTGAATTTCGGTAATGTACTGACGATTCACTGCAAGCATTACAAGGGAATATTTTACCCTACTGATAAGCTTCCTCCCTAATTGACAGATGTTATTTGCTCACTTGTTTATATGGATATATATATGTGGGCAAGAGCAACTGGCGGCATGCTAATACCGATAGAGTAATCAACCATCAGAGCTTTGACTGATCAACTATTTTCATGTCAAATCACATAAATCGTGTGACATAAAATTGATTATTCAGTTTTTGAGGTACTTCTTGCCCAATTATAAATATCACAGTACCCTGGGAATTTCAATGGACACGACAGTAGACCGACAATCTGCAGTCTGAAATTTTAATTATTTTTTATTTAAAATTTATCATGTAATTTAATTAATCTATATTGCGAGAATAAGGAAAATTTTGTTTCTGGGATAGCCATATGATAAAATCAGTTTTTTTAGTAAAATTTATAGATAGGCAATTTATTTAGGCTTTATTCGAAAATTATCTCTGGATACATAATTAAGAAATGACCTTGTATCTTGTGAAATATTGACATTTTTAAAGATATAAGCTCATCCTGATGTTACACTCATCGAGACCTTTCATTTGAGTACCCACATCAATTTTTCATATATTTATATATTTATATATATTACATATATGTATATATGAAAAATATATCAAAAATGCATGTGGGTATTCAAATAAAAGCTTTTGATGAGTGTAACATCAGGATGAGCTTATATCTTTAAAAACGTCGATATTTAAGAAATTACAGTGCAATTTAACAAAAGTCAT